GATAATTGGGTTCCGCGGAAAGGCGCTTCTGGCGTGATTATCCTAAACCCGAGCTTTCCCTTCGGGTCGTCCTTCTTTGCATAGTATGGCGAAGCCTTCAGCAGCTTCTCCAGCGTCCCCGTGAGTTTCTTTCCCTTTCCGACCATGTTGGCAAAGCCGACTTTGTCGATAAGGTTTAGAGTGGCGAGGAGGGGGATGGAGGAGAAGACGGGGGTGCAAGAGTGTTGGTAGCCCTTGGCGCCTGGGGTCGCTCGGAATTCCGGGTTCATTTGGAATCGCGTGGCAGCGTCGTTGCCCCACCATCCAGCAAGGCTGTTACCTGGTTAGAAGTGGCCGTGGGTGGGATGGCAGACTTACCGTCGACCACCATCATCCAGTCCTTCCCGCACAAACAAGCCCCCAATAGCCGCCGGTCCAGCATTCAGATACCTAAAGACGGTTAGACACATTCGTACGATAGCAATCGACTCACTTGTAAGTACACCAGACGGCAAAATCGACATTCCACTCGTCCAGCTTGCATTCGACATTGCCGGTACCGTGTGCCATGTCAATACCGAGCAACGCTCCGATATCGTGGACTTTTGGCGAGATGGCGGCGATATCGAAGAGCTGGCCAGTGTAGTACTGTACCAGCGGGAGCCAGACGACGGCAATCTGATGACTCGTCAGCAAGACTCGACAGGTATGCACGATACGCACAGTGTCCTTGTTCTCTTCGATCACCTTCAGAATGTCCTCCGTACGGAGCACGTCCTCGCCTTCCCTGGGTTCCAGACCGATAATCGCATCATCAATCTGAGTCTGGCTGAGCACCTTGTCGTGCAACTTTGGGTGCGAGTGGATCGCATACTACAGCCTATCAGTCCCGCCCCCTTTTTCGAAAGACAACACTTACCCAGTCACTAGGGAAACTGCCCTTCTCAATCACAATCTTCCACCTCTTCTCCGTCGGCCTGTAGAAGCTCGTAAACAAATTGTGAATATTACTCGTCAACGTCGAGGTATGCGCGACCTCATCTTCTTTCGCTCCGATGAGCTTGGCGAGGAGAGGCGTGAGTGGGCGGTCGACGTATTTCCATGGACGGTTGTGCGGGTGGTTGAAATGGCCCGTCACAGAGCTGTCCTTTCACTGTCAGCTCTTTGATCTGTGTAAAACGAGGGTACCCGACGGCATCTTACCTGGTTCCCCAGACATCGAGCTCTTCAATCATATGTTTCCTGGCATTCTTGTTGAGCAGCCCGAGCGAGTTGCCGCAAAAGTAAATAGAGTCGCCCTCTTCTAAAGTATCAGCGCTGGCTTCTTCGTGGTATAGTCAATGCTCACCTCCTTGACCGCCGCAGGCCGCGATGGTCGGGATCTCGAATTCAGCGCGAGTCCAGTTGAGAGGATCTTGCTGGTCCCACTTTTTGAGCTCTTCGATACTGGGTGTAGTAGACATGATATACTCGTGATGTATCATCTTGTTGCGATCAAGTCTGTCGGTATGCAAAGGTCGAGAGGGTAGAGATAAGATCAGATGGTACTCTTTTTCCCGCGTGCACCCCACTTTGCCCTGACTTTTCGGAAGGAGAGATCCGGAAGAGCGAGCCTTCATCTCGTCGAGAAGTGAGAACCAAATTCACCAACAACCACCGACAATGTCCCAAGAATCAGACCTCCAACCAGGCCAGAACCTCGCGCACCTCCTGCCCCCTTCCTGGACCGCCGACGTCCAGCGATGGTTTGCGGAGGACACCCCGTCGTTCGATTGGGCTGGGTTCGTCGTAGGGGAAGAAGTGCAGGAAGCTATTCTTTGGGGTAAGAGCGGGGTACGTCTGATCTTGTACAGGATGATGAAGAGGAGCTGACATGTAGCAGGGTGTTCTCGCGGGTGTACCTTTCTTTGACGAAGTATTCAAGCAGGTCGACTGCACGTACGTCCCTTGGCGCCTCATATCTCGACGACGGGCTAATTCCAGTGTTCAGCGTGGAATGGCTTCTCCCAGAAGGATCTGTAGTCCCAGAGGGAACCAAAACCAAAGTCGCCATCGTCCGAGGCCAAGCCCGACAGCTCCTCCTAGGCGAGCGAGTCGCATTGAATACCCTTGCGCGATGCAGTGGTATCGCTACCGTGTATGCCCCCCCTCTTCTCCACTTGGAGCTTGACTGATTGTTGTGAAAAAGGTCGAGGCGATTCCGTGATCTCGCGCGAGCAGAGGGATGGAAAGGCGTCGTGGCTGGTACGCGCAAGACGACACCAGGGTTCAGGCTTGTGGAAAAGTATGGGATGATGGTGGGCGGCGTTGACCCGCATCGACACGATTTGTCTTCCATGGTCATGCTCAAGGACAACCACATTTGGGCTACTGGTAAGCCCCTCATCCTTCCTTGAGATACAACGCTGAGACAGGGTATAGGCTCGATCACGGCAGCGGTCCAAACTGTGCGCAGGGTAGCAGGCTTCTCCCTTTTGGTCAATGTCGAATGCCAAGACTTCGCCGAAGCCGACGAAGCTATCGCGGCCGGTGCCAACATTGTCATGCTCGACAACCTTGTCGGTAACGACCTGCACGGCGCAGCTCGGCAGTTGAAGGAGAAATGGGCGGGCAAACGCGAGTTTTTGATAGAGACCAGTGGGGGTATCGTGGAGGGGAGTTTGACGGGCAGGGTCGGGCCTGGTAAGTCGCGCTTGAGATACTTGTAAGGCAACGAAGGCTGATAGCGTTGAAATAGATATTGATATCCTTTCGACATCGGCGGTCCACCAGAGCTGCCCACACGTCGACTTTTCGCTCAAGATCCAACCCAAGAACAAGAAATAACCTCTCATACTTTTATGCACAGCATACTCTCAGTCGTGAGAAGAAAAAAGAAAAACAGCTGCATGCTAAAGACAAGTATCCGAAAATTAAAAGGCCCAGAAACCAGCCTAGGTAATATGAACATGATCAACATGTAGGCCTCAAAATCCTCTCTGAGAATCCAGGCTTTAGCGGGGACAAAGGCGTCCCAGCTGATAAGAACAAGGTATATGGGTCGTCAAGGGTCATCAAAGAACTGGGTATGTGGTGGTTTACGGATACACTTCTTGGGAAGCAATGCAATGAGGGTGGGACAACGTTTTTGGTGTGTTTTTGTGGTGATACAGTGGTGGGATGGGTGGAGCGCTCAAGCTGCGCTTTGGGTCAGTTGACGACGGGGCAACGGACGCTGGGCTCACAAGGCAGAAGCGCTCTGGATCAGAGCTATTTACTGGGCGTTAAGGGAGAGAGTACGGGGGCGGGGCGGGGGTAGGCGGTGTCGCCGGGGCGGAGAGAGGAGCAGGGGGAGGAGGTTATTGAGCAGGACATCTCTGATGGCTGAATGTGTTCTAGGGGGTGTCAGCGGGATTCTGTATGGGCAGGGGGTACTGACAAGGAGTGAAGGGTGGTGGGTGGCGGGTTGTGGTATTGTGGTATGTTATGGGGGTGCAGTGTTGTTGCGGGGGTATATATATGGTGGAACAGTACTCGTACTGGTGCGTAGTTGGATTGTTCCGTAATGGGCTGCAAAGGAGGCAACGCCATCCCCCCTTATATATCTCCCAAAGGACCCCCTCCCGGGAGATGCCGCCTGCATCCTTGATCTTCTGGCTGCTGAGCTTGAAGCATCCTACTCAGCCAACCTCGCCGTGGGGCATGGAACGGAACCCACAGAACCTTTGCCCCACTCACCAGACTGTCTGCAGAAGGATCAGATCAATGGACCTTGTGTACCAGAACTCGAGGCGTGTGCCAGGCAAAGTCAGTAAGAAATGCAGTGTAATGCATGGGACTGCTGATTACAAATATGGAGACTTGGGGTGGAAACCCGGCTAATGCGGTCGGTTTGTCATACAACATAGGCGCGGCCGCCAGAGCAACAGCTGACTCTCGACATACACACAGTGCATAGCTGTAGATCGTTGCTGGGCGTTTCCTTGTCATGTGGACATGGCGCTACGAATATGTGTAACCATCGCGCCCCAGTCTCACCCCATGTTTCTGTACAGATACACTAGTCGAACGCTACCAAATGTCACTCAACGTCACCGGCCTTGCATTACACTATTGCGTTCAGTTCCTGTCTGATGCGATGGAACGGGGGATCGTCGTCATCGCTATACAATTAATGGGATTAATGCATTCGAAAGGACCCCCTCAAACAAATACAACATCCAACGGAAATCCCAACGCGCTAGCCAGCCCCTTGCAGCTCCACCCGTCTCTCTCCCGGGTATCTTGTTTGGCACTCACACTATAGCAGGTGCTATCCTGTGCTACGTATGCTCAGTCAGCACGGCGACCTCGCCATACTCGTACTTTCTGGTGTCTGAGCGATCTGTGGGCTAATGCATGGTCGCTGGGATTGACGAACGAGCCGATTAATTGCGCACGCGTAAGCGCGGGTCGTGACATTGGGATCTTCGACCTACCTTATCAGTCAACGTGCGTTCGCTGGCGCACAAGGTGCTTATCTCCAGCTGGTAGATATGTGGTTTGCGTGCTATCACGACGCCAACATGTCCAGCGTGTGCCCGGGAGATCCAGGATAAGGTGCAAACCGGCTTCGTATACTCGAGTACTGTAATCGTACGAGTACCGACAGCGCCACACGGCAACCCTCCCCCAGTTCCTGACTCGACAGGTCCAATGTGACCAGCGACTACCTCCCCTTCGCTGAGCGCTGGACGCTCTTTGGGGAATTGGACGACATTTGGGCATTGGATAAGGTCACCCAGGGGGAGGTAGCCTTCCGGTTGGAAGAGATGGTGAGATCTTTCCTATACATAGACCCCTTCTGCTCAGAGGTTTTCAAGTTTGCTGATGCCGCCCGTACTCGAGTACTGCCTAGAAGAAAGCATTGCGGAGATGGCCGCCGGACGTTCACGTTGGAGTGGCAGCTTCCATACTTTATGTCTTCTTGTTTTTTATCTATGAAACCAATCAGACAGCAGTGAGGGCAGCATGATCGATCCTTGAAGCCACAAAGACATTGACGATGCAATACATGATGATTCCAATTATAACACCCCCCAAGAAAAGCCCAGCTCGTCACACAAATCTAAGAAAAAACAGAAACCCCATCTAAACCTCATGCACCACCTTCTCATCATCAGTCTCAGAAGACACCGCGGGCCCCCTCTTGCTGACCAACGGCGCAGGGATGTTCGAGTCCTGCACGAAGTGCTCCTGGTCCTCTTGCGACAGATCTTCGAGCGTCCTGCCCTTTGTCTCGGGCAAGAGCAAGGTGGAAAAGACACCGGTAAGCATGAAGAGGGCAAAGATTTCGAGAATGTGTTTGAGGAATTTGTTTTTACCGCCAATGTTGATCAGGCGGGAGAAACCGACTTGGGCAACGATAGCGCCACTGTATGAATTATCAGTAAAAGCAAAAAGAGTGAAAGGGTGGGATGCGTACAGTTTACCGGAAGCGGCAGAGATACCGTGGGCGGTGGATCGGTAACGGGTGGGGAACGTCTCTCCGGGGATAACGAAAGTTGTCGTGTTCGGCCCAAAGCTAATCCCCAGTCAGTATATGGCAGCGCGAGAAAGAAAAGGACGCACTTTTGGAAAAAGTTGGCCATACAGTAAAGGAAGACGAATGCTTTTTTGCCGGAATCGGTGCTGAGCATCTTGTCGTACCCGAAACCCATGCAAACAAAGATGATGGTAAGGAGCACGAAGCCCATGAGCTGAATAGGCTTCCTGCCCCAGATGTCGATGAGGAAGAAGGTAAAGTAGTAACCAGGCTGATGTTCACGTCAGCTCAATGTAACATCTCTTCTTTCACCTGCGCCAGACTTACGAGGAGACCACCGACAGCGAGGATGATGTTGCCGACCGCGACGTTGTACAAGGTCTGGAAGATGTTTTCCTGCTTGGTCCCGAGTGTAGTCGAGGAACCGAAACCGATAGTAGTCAAGATGGTCCTTTGGCATTCCATGTCAGTTCTTCCATCTCCATGCATCTCCATGAGAAAGATCAGTCCACTCACGAGCTGTTCAGACCAAGGCCGTAGAAGGCTATATCAAGAGCGAACCAAGACCACGAAGTACCCAACAAGACCTTTCCATTCTCCCACTTTCCAAAGTGCCTGCAGAAATCCTTCCAAGAAGCCTTGGGTACCTCGGCGCGCTCGTTGTTGTGGATGGGGTCGACGACGTACTCGCCGGTAGTGAGATAAGTGTCGACATCCTGCGAAGCCTGCTTGATATTGCGCTCAATGTCCATAGTGTATCGAGGGGTTTCAGGGATGGTGAGACGGAAGTAGAGGGCAATGACGGCGGGGACACAGCCGATACCGATGATGAGTCGCCATGACTGGTCGACAGCGCGGAGGTCGGTCAGGGGTTCAGATTGGATAGAGGATTTGTAGGCGGAGACGACGATGACAGAGACGATTGCGGACGCCACTAAGCTTCAGGTCAGGAGGTGATGTCTGGAGGAAGGGAGATCACGTACAGTTACCCCAACCTTGGGCACTGAAGACGGCGGTCATCATACGGCCTCGGATACGCCTGGCAGCGAATTCGGAGGTGATGACTGAAGAGAGAGGGTAGTCGCCGCCGATACCGAGACCCATAATGAATCGCCACATAATGAGGACACCGTAGATCTGTGAAATGTCAGCAGGGGCTACTTTTCAGATGGATGGTGATTCTCACATTGATACCAGGGGCACGACCGGCGACTGCTTGACCAAGGGTACCAATAATGATGATCACCTGGAAGCGATCAGCAGGAGCTTTTATCGACGATACGATGAGACTCACCAACTCAATACCGTACATCTTCTTTCTACCAAGGTGATCGGCGAGGAAACCAAAGAGAAGCTGTCCGAAGAAGGTGCCGATAGAGTGGGCGACCTTGATACCCAGATCTTGGTTGCTAGTGCTGGAACCGCCGTTGTGGTAGACGTATCCAATCATGGTAGCCGCGATAGAAATGGAAAAGATGTCGTAGGCATCAGTGAAGAATCCAACACCTATTCAAAGTCAACAAAGGGGAAGCCAGAGAGCTAGAGGGCATACTTACCAGCAACGATACAGGCTTTGGCGTGGAACCAGGAAAACTTGGCCTCGTCGATATCAGCGAGGGCGGCTCTGCGACGCTCCTGCGCGGAGAGAGCGACAATGGCGTGAGCCTTTTCGTAGTCGAGTTGACTGGACATGTCGGAAATGAATCAATTCAAGTGCTTGAAGAGGCAGACAATGGAGATCCACCAGCTGCCTTAAGTATTGTCGATTCCAGGTCAGTCGGAAAAAAAAGTCGGCATGAGCGTTGGAGCAGTAGCACGTTCTTGGCAGCCGATCAGTGGTGGTTACACGAATAGACACTGCAAGGTCTTGGTATGCGGCTTGGATCAAGCCGGGATAGGGTCCATTCGAGAAGTGGAGGCGGGAGAGCTGGGAGAGGGGACAGAACGTGTCGGGTGGGCAGGAGCGGGGCCAATGAGATTGCATGGGAGATGGTGGTCACCGGCGGGCTGCCGTGCCGTAAGGTGAGTGCGGATTCCAAGAAGCTCAGGAAGGGGCAGGCTGCCAGGCACACGCTCAGGAAGACTCACAAGAATATAAGTAAAAGACGCAAGAGAGAGAGAAGATCGCACGTTCGTGGGCCAGAGCGTGCCTGGAATCGCGAAAAGCGCAATGTGGCATGTGCTGTTGGGTTATCGATGCCGTTTATATGGTGGTTATGGCATGCAGCTCACTGGTGGTGCTATAGATATAACGTACACCCCATGTGAAGACGCGTGTAAGAGCTGTTTCATCGCCTTGACGCGCGAGACTCACTGGTAGTCGAGCCTCATGAAATGGTCAGCTCTCGCGCGAGCTCGAGTGTGGCGCGGCGCACGTTGCTTCAACAAGGTTCTGTCTTGAACATCAGCGTCGCCTGCTGAGGGTAAGACCTCGCTTTCAAGCGGAACCCAGATTGAAGACAGTGCGTGGGGCGCGTGGGACCGACATTGACCGCGAGCTGTATTTTGACGATGGACCTGAACATGATCATCCCCGACGCGAAAAGCCTGCTGAAGACACTCAACGTTCGTTTCAAATTCCGAACGCCTATGTATCTTTCTTCTGGCCTATACGAGGGTCTACACTTTGCGAGAGTCTCCGGGAACACGACTCGGAAGACTGAAGGGGTGCTTGAGAATTCAACAAGTAGCGCATAGCGCATAGCGTCAGCCGTCGTCGTCGTCGCTGCTACTAGCTTCTGCCGCGGCCGGGGCGAGAAAAACAGACTGAAACTGAGGAGCGACTACACAGTTTGCCATATAGCGCTCGCTCTATTCGTGTAATGGTACACATATCAACTGGCACGTATCGACCTATAACCCTCTCCTCTACCGCTGTTATTCAACGGCGAGCAAGGAATGTCATACGCTTTAGTCATCACGACAGGCGGCTCATGAGGATAGCCCTTTTGCTTTCAGCAGGATGTCAGCTTTATGGGGTGGTGTAGTAAGAGCCCAACACACGTAGACCCTTCCATATCCTTGATACTTGTCCGCAATGATAGGATCGAGGTCATCGTAGGAGCGAACGCACAGCTCTCGGGACACCCGGTCGGAAACGCCATCCACCAGAGATTTGGGGTTTTCCGATTTTGGAAAACCTCAGGTCGCATCTGCTGAAACCAGCAAATCCCTCCTGCTGGGAATGGCAAACGCATCGATGCAGGGTGTCCCGAGCGCTGTGCGTTCACAGTCTGTCATTAGGGTTTGTTTGTAAAGGCATAAGCAGAGGGGTGATGGTGATTAGGATAGGCATTAGGATTTCGAGAAACGAAGGACGCATGCAGTGCATGGGGTATCGACAGCTCATCATTAGTTCAGGCCAACGGCAAACCTTCCTGCGCAAAGTCATTAGGCCAGGCTCAGGTACCGCACCCCAGAATCATGAGCATTTTATAGACTTTTGCATAAAACTCAACCCCGTTGAGCGACCTATTCAACACCCCGAGAGGGAACCATCCCTCATCACAACAAGGTGAGCCCCGCAAGACCCATCGCCACGCTCATAATCCCAAACCCAACAATCCCCTTGTGACCCCCGGACGAGGAAGAAGAATCGGTCGAGGCAGAGCTGGTGGCACTGGCAGCGCCGGAAGAGGTGGCGGAAGCGTTGGAAGCCTTGGATGCGTCGGTGGTACAGGTCTCGTTCGATGGAATTTCGTAGCCGTCGATGAGGGTAAGGTCGGCACATTGGTACAAGTTGCCATCACCCTGACCCAACGTCAGATAATGCTCCTCAATCAATAGGAGAGGACTCACGCCATCGTATTGGATTTGCAAGGTCACATCGGAACCGTTGGTGAGGCCAACAAGACTTCCGAGGTCAATGTTGAAGCATCTCTCACCTTCGGCGACTTGAAAGATGCTGGAGGCGAGAGGGATAGAAGTACCGTTGCTGGTGGTGTTGAAGTCGTCGAAAGAAGAGGGGTTCTCGCTGGTGGAGATGAAGGCGACCACAGTGGCAAGGGTGTGGTGCGAGTCGATATGGACTAATGAGATGTTAGTTGACCGAAGGTTTATCAATCGTATCACTCACCCGGTCCTGAACCAAGAGGGAAGGGCTGCCTAGATGAAACACTGGTAAAGCCTCCACTACGATCAAGTCAGCGCTTGTTCATGTGATAAGCTGGAGACCCACCAGAAGTCGGACTCTTTGTCTTCGTCAAAGCCACGGGTGGTCTACACAATCGCTGTCAGCTGTCACAATCACTCTCTCGCGGTTGATACCCACAGGATAGTCGAGAGTAAAGTGAGCAAGGGCTGTAGAAGCCATGAGAGAGGAGGCAAGCAAGGTCTGAACAGCGAGCATTGTGGAAAGTGTAGAGCTGAAGTTGAGCTGGATGAGGTGATACTTTTGTTGAGGGAAGAAAAGTCGTGTGAGGAGGTCTTTATATATGCGGAGTCGGTACCGAGCTGAGGCGGAGGCACGCGAGGAGTCGGACCAAAGCGGAATGCTGACGACGCAAGGGGGTGTGGTCGTTAAGAGGACATGGATCCTCTTGTCGACGAGCAGTGATTGGTTCGATAGATCGGTTCCTGGCGGTCACTTCTTGAGGCTTTTACCATGATACGGCGGTCTTGCGCTATTTCTGATTAGATAACGGTCAACATGTGGGCTGCGCAAACAAATGTGGGCAATGTGGCGGGTTGGTGCCTCTGTTGTCGCGAGGGGCGTGAGCTGCGGGGGTGTACGGTCGCACAGACGTATAGAATATAGAACATGGCATCGCTAGAAGAGGAAAAAAGTAAGGGAATCGATTGGAGCTGCCCCTCGTGCGACCAGTATTAGTTTGTGTAAGCATGCAAGGGGATGAGGGTAGACGAATACACTCATGGCTTACAGCGCAGGCATATCTTGTATCCAGGTTTGTTGATAATCATGTTGCGGCCTTTTTCGCGTCGGCGGACATGAGCGCCGGTTGACGCGACTTCTAACGCGTCGCGTCGAAAGGTCAGAAAATGTAACTGTCCACAACTCTCGCCACCCACCCCCTCAAAATGGCCTCCTCTTCCACAAAACCCAGGAGAAGCCTCGGCGCCATCATCGACGCGATCCCCACCCAGCGCGACTATGTCCCCGACTCTTGTTCGGAAGGCTCTGGATCGGAAGACGAAGGAAGTAGCAGACTTCCTCTACAAAGTCTCAAGCCGATACCTCTGACGCCGGTGGCGTCTAACAGGGGACCTCGGGTATCTGGCGGATTACCCAAATCCGGGCTAGCATTGAAGGAGAGAGGGGTGCAAGACGGTGCTGAGAGGGGTCAAGCACTGACAGAAGAGTATGATTCGGCAATGTTCTTTTCTGTCATGTGGTAAGCCGATATATCTCTCCATATTTATCGGAAATGTCTACTGACGCAAATTTGGTCTTGTGTAGGAGAAAGCCTCAATATAAAAAGGTAGGTGGAAAGGAACCGTGCGAGACCAGGTAATGCTAACCCCTGTCGTTTTCCTCTTACTTAGAATAGTGAGCTTGCTTCCGATACGCCGGGTGACTGAAGGAGTGTGGGGGCTGACAGATAACCAAACAGAAACATGGGACGGTGACGCTACGATCAAGATACTAGGCAATAGAATTGCAATGCTTGATGAAGATGGTAACCAGTGCGCCTTTTCTTCGCTCCGCCATATTGCAACATTGAGCGTGACTTTTCAGGATGGCCGTTACCGTGGTCGGCTCCAAAGTCATCAAACCCGAAGCCGAATTCAAGATAGGCGGCTACGAGATTCAGGTCGATCATAGAATACAGGCTGAAGAGTGAGCTCTTTCCGAGGCTCACTGAGATGTACTGACGCCGTTTGTAGGTTCAAGAGCAGCACAAGTATCCTCAGTCGGCCCCGGGGGGTCAATGCTGCTTCCTACTCTCCGGCAACGTTCGCCAAGCCTTTCAGACCACCCACTCAAAAGGCCGCCGCCAGTCCAATGCAGCCGTTCAAGCCTCCAACTTCTGTGACAAGTCAGACTCCAGTCGCTGGACCTTCAACCACATCAACTCTCCCCACAGCTGCCGCCGCTCAGAAAGCAGTCGCCGCTGCGTCCTTCTACGGCAGTACAACACCAAAACCAAGAGTCGAGAGAATCGTGATAGGTGAGAAGAGTAACAAGGAGAGGTTGGATTGGGGTGGTGCGCTGTATAATCCCAAAACGCCGGGAGCAATCGTCATGCCCAGACCGACAGAGAAGGAAGCCAAGTTGAAGTACGTGATTTTGTTGGAGTAGGTGGCGCTACTGATGTACTTGCAGGGGTACGAGTCTGGTGGATGTTGTCGTCGACCCTACGTTGAGCAACATCATGCGTGAACATCAGAAACAAGGTGTCAAGGCGAGTTGAAGCATCACTAGGTAGTACCACGCTGACCCATTTGCAGTTCATGTATGAGTGTGTCATGGGAATGACGAACGCCGAAGGTGAGGGATGTATCCTGGCGGACGAGATGGGATTAGGCAAGACGCTGCAGACCATTGCCTTGATCTACACGATGCTCAGTAAGTGTATTCACTAAATTCCAGAGACCTAGGTTGACATTTGCAGAGCAATCGCCATTCGCCAACCAGTCGGGCATGTGAGTCTGGACCTCCACCCAGCCCCGGATTTTGCTAACAAACATCTAGTATTGGAAAAGCTATGATTGTCTGCCCCGTCAGTTTGGTTGATAACTGGGGAAAAGAGTTCAAAAAGTGGGTGGACAGGAGGGTCAATGTTCTCGTTGCAGACGGCGCAGATCATCGCATATCATCTTTCGTAGGTATCTTTTGGGATCATAAGACCGAGCTCATACAATACAGGTCAACAACAAGCATCAGCATGTCCTTATCATCGGTTACGAAAGGCTTCGCAAAGAAATGTAAGTCTCTAATCGTCCCATATAGCTCGGTCTGATGACGTCTTTAGAAAAGATCTCGCTTCGTGTGTTCCGCCCATCGGCCTCATTGTTTGTGACGAAGGCCATCGTCTGAAATCGAAAGACAACAAAACTACCAAGATGTTTGATATGCTCAAGACCCAGCGCCGTATTAGTGAGCTTCCCCTCTGAACTATGTCGAGCTATCTGACCATGTCGGCAAAAGTTCTATCTGGTACACCGGTACAGAACGATCTGGGAGAGTACTGGGCTATGGTCAATTTTGCTTGCCCCGGTGTGCTGGGCAAGTATGCTGCTTTTTCAAAGCATTATGAGAAACCGATCTTGAAGAGCAGGACGCTGAATTGTCCGGAGAAGGATGTGGCGACGGGAAAAGCTAGAGCGGAAGAGGTCAGTCAGCTGGCAATCTAATGACATGTTGACTGATGGTGGGTATAGCTTGCGAAACTGTCAAAGGAGTTTGTGCTCAGAAGGACAGCGGCGGTGCTGGAGAACTATCTGCCACCAAAATGTAGGGCTTTGCTAATCGACGAAAGAAAGTGCTGACTATCTGTAGACGAGTACGTTGTTTTCATCGCCCCGTCCAAACTCCAGCTCTCCGTGCTGTCCCGTCTGCTCGATCCGAAAATTGTCGGCAAGTTCATCCGTGGTCACGGCGCCCAATCCTTGGCTTTGAGTGAGTGTACTGGGATCGATAGATAGCCCATCTGAACCAGTGACGCAGTTGATATCATGCGGAAAATCTCAAACTCGCCTATGGTAAGCCCATCCTTACCGATTGATCTCGGATGCGCGCTAACTTCACCAGCTCTTGCGCAAGAAGGATGAAGAGACCGGAGACAACAGCCGGACCGACTCCGACCTCAGTACAGCCAAGTCGGCTGCCCTTTCCGCCATCCCTGCAAGCACCCATATCAACGATGTCAATACCAGCGGCAAGATGCTCGTACTGGACAAGTTGCTACACGGCATACACGCGACGACTGAAGAGAAGATTGTGGTCGTCTCTAATTGGACCTCGACCCTTGACCTGATCCAGGGATTGTGTAAAGCGAAGAGGTACCCGTTTCTTAGACTGGACGGTAGCACACCAGCCAAACAGAGGCAAGAGCTCGTGGACAGATTCAACAAGGACAAGGCTAGGAAGGACAGCTTTGTGTTCTTGCTGAGCGCGAAAGCGGGAGGTGTTGGTCTGAATTTGATTGGGTGGGTATGGAAAATCAGTGCAATCGTGTCCAAAGCTGACAGAGACGACAGTGCTTCTCGGCTTGTCTTGTTTGACAGCGACTGGTAAGATAGGAGGCACTGACCTCAAAGAAAAATCTGACGGAGACATAGGAACCCTTCCACTGATCTTCAAGCAATGGCTCGTATCCATCGGTAGGTGTCAATGATCCATGTGTCGCCAGTACTGACAAGATTTTAGTGATGGACAAAAGCGCCCGGTGTACATCTATCGATTCCTCACTACGAACGCCATCGATGAAAAGATCTATCAACGTCAGATCACCAAGACGGGTCTTTCTGAGCAGATGTTGGATCATAGCAGCTCAGAGGCAACGACGACCAACAAAGACTGTGAGTATTGATATCAACTGATACCACTCGGGCTCCCACTAACGGGTTGCATATAGCGTTCTCTACGGAAGAATTGCGAGACATTTTCACGCTCAATCTGAGGACCAATGGCTGTCAAACTCGTGCGTGTGCCCTTCCCACACGGATCCGCGCTCACAATATCTCAGACGATCTTTTGGGATGCGACTGTACGCTTGTCGCTCGGAAGAAAACGCTTCAAATTGAAAGCAAACCGGCAAAAGTCGACTCCGACGATGGCGAGCATGACTACAACGAGCTTTTGGAATCGGAGAGCGGCGAAGATGATGACGAGAAGCCGAAGTTCGTCAGTGCGAATGATTACGACCCGGAGCCGGTGAGTCCAACGTTCCTCTATATGTGTATGTTTACTGATGCGGTATGTGTAGACTCCCAAAATGCGTCGCAAGGCAGCCAAGGAGCAGAGCAACAAGCTGGCAGCTCTCAAACACTGGACTCACTACGATGCCAATGAGTCCAAATCCTTCCGTGGCGTTCAAGATACCCTGCTGTTCAACATGCTCCTTGACTCTTGGGAAAAGGATGATGCCGTTGTGCGGGATAGCGAGACAGAAGATGAGGAAGATCAAGACGTAGACGAGGAGGCGGACGAGCTCGAATCTGATGAGGAAGGTGCGACAAAGAAGCGCAAGTCTATGGGAGGCAATAAGGGTTCTGTGGTCAAAAAAGCCAAGACGTCCGATGTCTGCGCTGCTATGACGTTTCGGAAGAAGCACAACCTGAAGACTGTGGCGGAGAGGGGGACTGGAAGGGTGACCTTTGTGTTTGAAAAGGTGTCAAAGTCAAAGTTGTAACACGGACTTGCATATATAGATCATACGTCTCTGATGCCGATTGCTTTCAGATTGCATGCATGTCGTTCATATTACGAAGAGCGAAGAACATGGCATCTATATGACAGTCTATTATGGTACATGCAAAGTAGTGATTTTTGGTGTATGATGGCACCAAGTGCTGTTTGAATTGTGATTACACATCTAGCCCGTGAACGTCCCCG